TCATGAAGGTGTAGTCTTCAAAACGATTCTGTTAAAAAAAACCCACAAAATTTACAAGTAAATGTAAGAAAATGACAAGATATTGCAAGTGATCGGGCGGTGGGCTAGTTAAGACAGTCAGTCAGTTGGTGACTTGTCCATTTACTGCTCAACTTTCATCTTCCCAAATCTTCAAAAACCCAATCCAGTTTATTGTTTTTTGATGGATTTTGATGGAGTCAGGATTGTACAGTCAAGCGCATATTAACATTTATGTCCCAATTTTGCGAAAATGTGTCTTTGACGACCCGCAAAATGTTACATTTTTGATGATTTAAGGGATTTCACAGTTAAAAAGAAAAAGAAAAGGAGAATAGTGTTATTCTTTTTGAAGGAAGGGACACAGCTTCAATTCCACACAAAGTGGACATGGCTGAAAAGTGTAAACCGCGTGAAATCTTAATACCATAAATAATAACAACGGAGTCTTATATAGCACACGTATCTACATTTACCAACAATTAGGTACTCAAGGCGCTGGAAAATTATATCTATTGTTACAGACAGGTAAATTAAGGCTATGAGAAATATGAGACCCATTATGTAGCACTTATAAGGGTTTACAAGTGTGCTGCGGCGCATATTGCAGCCACTGCCAGAAACACCGGGCAAACCCCTTCTTTATAGCGATAAGTGTTACTGGGTTCTTTAACGTCCCATCCGAAGGACGAAGCAATAATGGTAAAGTGCCTTGCTCAAGAGCACAAGCACCATGTTTCCATGGTTAGGATTCGAACCCATGTACCAACCTGGTTGTTTCATTGAAATCTGGCAAGAAACTTCAGCGACTTTTATCAATGCATACTGAAGAACAAAAATCTGCGTCTAAAAACGTACCATTCCTAACAGTTGTTTACAAAGCTTATATCTTTTTTATTAATTCAGCTAACATTACATTATCCATGTCATGTTGTACATGAAGGCCTAAGCTAGAGTTGTAGCACATATATAGTTTTCTTTCATGGCTAGTATTTTTACTTTGTTTCAAATTGGTTTTAGGAGTTGAGTTATATTGAGTTCAACTTCTGCGAATTTGCAGCGCGGAAACCTGATGTGACATCAAATCATGCGCGTCGCCAGGATTTTTTTAGAGGGGGGCAAGACATTTTTTTGGCCAAAAAATGCTTGTATTTCTCAACACATTCTCGATTTATCAGTTTTAGAGGGGGGCAGGGACATTTTGCCCCTCCCCAACTCATTAAATTTACACCACTTTGTCTTCGTGCCTCTTTTGCTTTTCTTTTCTTTTCTTTTTTTTCTTCCCTTTTTTTTTTTTTTGCTTTTTCAGGGGGGGGGGCAAGTGCCCCCCTTGCCCCCCCCCTCGCTACGCCCATGCATAAGATATTCTTGAAATGTATTTGCATTTCAACCAACTATGAAGCGGCCTTTTTGCAGAGGCTCCCCGTTTACTGACCTCTAGTCTAATCTCCTTGACCTGCATGATGTTTTGTATCCGCAGACCCCACTGATCTCTCAGATCATCGTCATCAACATGATAGTAACCAGGACCTGTCAAAATACAGAGAAATTGAACTGTTAATTAAAAGCTACAGTCCATCATTTGCAGCTATCCAAAATGTAACTGACGTAATTACTGTTGAAAAACATACGTGGTTGAAAGATGGGACTAAACTCCCGGTGAAATGATTCTTTCTGGCAAGCTGTCATTTTGAAGAAATCAATGAAAGAAGGCCTTTTCGTTAGTAGCTCATTTTTTTTATTGGGCGTGGTTGCTATAATTCGTCGGATCAGTGCCTGACATCGCGTAGCTGCAATCGGCTCAGTGAGAACATGTCTCGGACGCTGAATTCAGGCCCAATTCAAAACATGATTCAGCAACTTTTGATTTGAAATCGAGATGCTAGAATGCTGTTTTTCTCGGAATATACAGCTGAAGCTGCGCTGAAAGTTCATCAGGTTAGTTGTTCAGCACCCTTCTTTAGATTTTGAGCACGTTTGTTGCTTCAAACGAACAAAATGCACAAATTACAAATGATGGACTGTACCTTTAAAGAGAATTATATACAAGTAACACCGAAGTAAATCCTTGTCATTTGATTGGAGGTTTTGTAGGTCATGCGGCATTCATTATTAAATCGAACCACTGCACGTCCTACGTCATAATCATGAATCACTGTGCATTTTCATCCGAACCCTTTTTATTCTGTTGCCATTCAACACTCACCGTTAGCGACGAACATTCCAGGAAGAATTCTTGATCCTCGGCGATGTAGCCGTGCCTGAATCTGGTGGGTCCCTCGTGGATGCTGAGGTAATGGCCAACACC